CAATAACACTAATTCTCACGTTTAAGATATATTGTTAAAATTCAATAATAACAGAGCACATTCCGAATATTTTATCGTGTATATTATAAAAGATAACACTTACGAAAAAATAATGATCTATCTAAAAAGAAAAGACATAATTTCTTTTTGCGTTTACATTAAAAATTAAAGTGTAAATCGAGATGATTTATTTTAAAAAGATATTAATATCGACTTTAATGTTGATATTGACATAAAACTACCGTTTGAAATATTTGTACTTCGTTTTGTATTGATCGTTGAGTATCTTAAATTGCGATCCTATTTATACTGTTTTCTATGTGAATAGAGATATTAAGACGTTGAAATTCTAAGATATTTGAGTTGCAATTGCAAACATGTATATTATATATAAATTAGAAACGAATTTTACATTCAAAAACTAATTCAGTATGCTGAAATGAAACTCTCGCGTTAAGAATATCTACCATTATGATGCCGAAAACATACGAATTTTCATGTCATTATTGGCGGCCTTGAAATTATGTTTGCACTTGAAAAGAATACGCTGATGTTTTGCGAAACAAGGAATTTGCCTATCAGTAACTCTTTATCGGATACAATCGCAAAAACATTTGGATACAGTTGATAAAATCGAATGAATTTTCAATGCACTCGGTATCCCGTATAATTATACTACGTAGTCATTGGATCTGTATTATTTATGAGCTCGAGAACCTCACAAGGAAACGAAATAAACATAACATTCATTCAAACTATATATCACGAATATCTTATCGTGTATATTATAAAATGTAACACTTACAAAACACAATGATTTACCTAAAAAGAAAAGACATAATTTCTCTTTGTGTTTACATAAAAAATTAAAGTATAAGTCGAGATGATTCGTTTTAGTGAAGAAAAAAAAACGAATAAAAGTAATCGAGTAAAAGAAAATTATAGAAGCTCATGTTCATATTCAACGTCTCTTTAAGTTCTTTCTGTATTTTATGATTGTGTTGAATAAGTTTTCTAGAAACAAATTTATCGCAGACTTCTGCCCCAAATTTCTTATTAATGCTCCTAAGGAGTCGCATCATCCATCTCTTTTTAATGACGTCAGAAGCGAGAAAACGCATGCTAAAAATTCCTGCAAAGTACGTCGAAATAAACAGATATATCCACAAAACGATATTTGCGATCGATTAAGTACATCTCTAAAATACTCCGTACACTTTCCTTTTGTTCTAACAATCAACAAATAATTATAAAATAAATGTGACGTGCAATCGTCTTTTCTAAACTAATTTCCTCATTATCTTGTCATATTAATTTTCCGATTATTTATTGATTTTTAGAATAAAAGGAATGTGTACGGAGTATTTTAGAGGTGTATTTAATCGATCGCAAATGTCGTTTTGTGAATACATCTGTTTATCTCGACGTGTTTTGCAAGAATTTTTAGCATGCGTTTTCTCGCTTCTGACGTCATTAAAAAGAGATGGATGATGCGATTCCCCAGGAGCCTTAATGTTTCAGTCACCGGTATAGTTTTATTTAATAAATTTAAGTGGTTACCTTTACAAAATTGTATGTCCGAATATATAAAAAAAATTAACACAAATACACACGTTTCTGCGCGTGGTCGCATACTGTAATAAAATGGCAAATATCGTATGCTTGCAATTGCGTGCGTTACATGCTTACAGACTCACGTACTGGCGTTTTTTAAACACAGTTCTAATATGTAGTTGCTTTTACTACTTTTGTCTCTCTCAAGACCACCAATTTTATGAAAATATGCTTTTCGTATCATCTAATGATAGGTTTCCGAAGAGCAGTTACTCTAGATAACGAAAAATGATACTTAATTACAGAATATTGAAGCTATTTTTATGTTGTAGATATCTTATTATTAAATAAATTTACGAATTATTGAATAAATTTGACAATTATTGAATAAATTTGACAACATAATTTGACAAGTTTTTTTACTTGAGAACTTAATTTTCGGTAGACTTCAGTTTTTGTGTACACAGTTCTTATCAGCTCTGCTATTTGTCCGTAATTGGTGCAATTAACATTTTATTTTAAAACCTATTTGTGCAAGTCATATCTCTATTTCAATAGTTTTGAATGTTTATTGTATATGTTAGACTAATGTAAAGTACACCAATAACACTAATTCTCACGTTTAAGATATATTGTTAAAATTCAATAATAACAGAGCACATTCCGAATATTTTATCGTGTATATTATAAAAGATAACACTTACGAAAAAATAATGATCTATCTAAAAAGAAAAGACATAATTTCTTTTTGCGTTTACATTAAAAATTAAAGTGTAAATCGAGATGATTTATTTTAAAAAGATATTAATATCGACTTTAATGTTGATATTGACATAAAACTACCGTTTGAAATATTTGTACTTCGTTTTGTATTTTCCACACAATTATAGCAGCTTTTCATCACGTCGTATAGATTGGTTTTGCTTCATTAAACTTTATTAGATTTGTCAAATTGCCACCTAGACAATATCGTCAGATTCTAACGAATTTAACACTTTGCGGCTTCAAGTATACAAAACTATGTGTGGAGCATCTCAATCTTTTCAATCTTCTTAATCTTTAATTCCAAGTCGACGTTGGACACACACAAAAATTATTAGAAAGATAGATGTTATAATTACAACAATGCACTAAAATTACCCTCTAGGGTCCTCAGAGGATTCTCCTTGATATATTAAGGATTAATACCATGTAATTTATTTTTCTAGTTAAAAATTAGTTCATATATAATTAATTATATAATAATTATGACAATATACATATTTTTTTTATTATTTGACACGTACGACACGTTGATCTGTCAAAATGTCACTTCTTTAAACGCTTTAAACACGCTTTTTCGATTGATCAATAATCATGGGAGAAGTGTAGTTAGAAACGAATGCGGCCAACCAAGTCTTTACTTAAACACAATATCCAAAATCGGATCATAAGACGTTTTTAAGACATCTTTAAGACAAGTTTATAAGGTATTATCTTGAAGACAATATCATAAAGATAATATTTTTAAATAAATATTATAAAGATAATATTTTATATATAAAGATAATATTTTTAAGATGTCTTAAAGACGTCCTAAAGACATCTTATGACTCGATTTTGGACACTTATGCTGTGTGGGTAGTTATCATCGATATATCGATGGTATAGCATTTATTGAGACCATAAATAATATCGGTAAAATAATATTGATAAAATTGTATCGTTTGAAAAATAATACATATATTCCTCCTCCTCCTTCAGTCCAGAACGAAATAATTTATTCAATAATTCGTAAATTTATTTAATAATAGGATATCTACAACATAAAAATAGCTTCAATATTCTGTAATTAAGTATCATTTTTCGTTATCTAGAGTAACTACTCTTCGGAAACCTATCATTAGATGAAAAGCATGTTTTCATAAAATTGGTGGTCTTGAGAGATTACGTTCCTACGAGAAATTACAAAAAAAAAAACGCTAACATTTCATAAAAGACAGGTTAAAAAAAACTAACATTTTGCGAAATAATTTGCTCATTAATAACACTTATTGCAAATACTATTGCCTTATCATTTTTCGTTATCTAGAGTAACTGCTCTTCGGAAACCTATCATTAGATGATATGAAAAGCATGTTTTCATAAAATTGGTGGCCTTGAGAGATTACGTTCTTACAAGAGATAACAAAAAAAAAAATGCTGACATTTTATAAAAGACAAGTTTACAAAAAAATCAACGTTTTGCGAAATAAACAAGAAATTTGCCTACTGATAATTCTTATTGTAAATACGATCGCATTAAATACAACCTTTGAATACAATTGATAAAATCTGTATGAAGTTTTAATGCACTATTCTGCACGATAATTGTATCATGTGTAACATCGTTTGATCTTTATTATCTATAAATTCGAGAAATCTGAAAAAAAAGAAACTAAATGTAACCTTTAGTCAAATGATATATTAGTAAAAAAAAACAGTCGAGTAAAAAATAATAAAAAGAAAAAGAATGGTATTAATCCAGAGTGAATACTGAAATAGAAAGAAAATAGTGAAGAAGAAACTGTATTTTTATAGTTTTTAAACACATATCTTTAGAACTCTGATGGTAAAACTAAACTTTTATGATAGTAATAAGGGCACTAAGAGCTAAATGCTGATGTTCGTGCAAATATAATGGGGGAGGGTAATAACATTTGTAACATGTAGTGTAAACGCCGAATAGGATTTACGAGGCTTGTTCTTTTTCGCTGCACTACTGCACTAGTGCAATAAGTTAAAGTGAAAAAACATATATGTGTCTCGCTTTAACTTATTGTTCAGCAGTGCAGCGAAAAAAGAACAAGCCTACGGTCTTTTATTAACGTACGCAAAGAATCACTTTCCACCAAGAAACCGAGCCTAATTCTCCAATTTTTTGTGATCAGCACTTAGTTCTTAGTGGCCTTATTACTCATAAAAGTTTGGTTTTATAGTTTTTATCCATATAGACGTATATATCGTATATCGTTCCTCCTCTTTTAATCCAAAATGAAATAATTTATTCAATAACTCATTCGCGCATGATTTGCGATTTAATATTATTTCATTGAACGTACATGTAAATGTGTTTGTAATATTGAGATTTTCTTATGTCACACATCGAATATACACAAATTATATAAATAGCTAGTAAATGCACGAAACCAATGCCTGCAGTGCGTTTTCGATTCTTCTGTACACGATTCACCTAATTTATTAGTTCCAATATGCGGCAGGTATGCATAGCTACACAATTTGCTTCACTCGTGCAGTAAAATAACGATAATTTTACCGTGGAAGTATCGTTTACAAGTTTTGTTGAATAATATCCAAAATAATTACGGAATAGATAGCGCTGATATATCTTACGATATACACGATATTATATCGTAAAAAGTCCATTCCCGGCATTTAAAAAGTATAAAGATTTACAAAAACTCGCTAACGTATTATATGTACGTTGCACAATATTGTGCATCTTATTCCTCCAGGAAGAAATATTGTCCGGCCTTCTTCTGTTCCAGATCCTACAAAAAAAAAATTGACTAAAAAGCTTTGTTCTGGATTGTTAAGACATAACAATTTCAGGTACACGTATTGAAATATAGTACAGTCAATAACTATTGCCATATTGAATATCTTGAAACAAAAATGACCTTAAGATTTTTAAAGTTGCTCCTAGGTTAAGCTAGAGAAGAGCATAAAATAGTACAGAGTCCCCGTCATATTACTGTTTACTAGACTCATACTAGGTCTGTTATTTTTAACTGAACTTGTGTACACTGGTGTAATAAGTTAAGATGAGACAAATATATTTTGTTTCACTCTAACTTACTGCAGCAGTTCTTATTGCATAAGACAATTTAGCTAAAAAAAACAAACCCACTAATACTCTTGATCACAGTTCCACGCGCCTATGTGCTTGTGTTTACACATGCAAATGGCGGAGAATGAACAGTTTGAATGTTATTAGAGAGGGATTCTGTTACACATAGTCTTATACTTTTACAGCCCTTAAAACCGAACTTATAATGGAACCTTATTCTGCTTGAAGAGCAAATTTAGAAATTAGCAGAGATTACACGTACCTTCACCGATTGATTCTTATTGATTCTCGGTCGGAAGTTATTCGGATCTCTTCTGAAGGTGATGCCTAATAATTCCAAAAATCTATTCATACCATTCAATAAAGACTGAGGACTATGCGCGGTAGTCGCTAGAGACGGCGTACCGGAAAATACTATCACACGATCGGCTAGGTACGTTGCCATTATAAAATCGTGCTCTACGACGAATCCCGTTTTCTTCGCGTGCAATATAAACCTGAAATGTAAATAGTTATACCATTGCTTAATCAACCCTTTATCTGTTTTCTTTTCTTGTATTTTTATTCAATTTGAAATGTTGCAAATAGAATAGATTAAGATATAAAAAATGTTGCGTACATGCGTCTTGAAAATTTTTACTTTCCTAGTAATTTACTAGTAATTTGAAGTCATATGTTATCACCGCGTATTAACTTTGATTGACTCATTATTTTTATTGATCGAATATGGGTAAAAAATTGAATACCTTTTGATAACTTTCGCAGCGACTAAACGTTGCTCAGAATCCAAATATGCTGATGGTTCGTCGATCAGATAAACATCAGCGGGCTTTCCCAAACAAAGAGCTAAAGCAACACGTTGTAACTCGCCTCCGGAGAGATTCTGTACCTCTTGATCCATAATATCGTCTATCTTCAGAGGCTTCATCACATCGGTTACGAATTGCGGATGTACGTATGCGTCTCTGATCTTTTCGTGCAACAACTGTCTAACGATACCTTGAGACTTGGGGCTTATTTTCTGCGGTTTATAACTTATATGAAGCTGAGGAATACTTTCTGCAAAAATGCAACGATATTTTACATCACAATTTATGTTTTCAGATAATGTGATTACCTCATTATTCTTATTAATTATATAACGAAACTCTCTATACAACTCTAGATTTATATGTGAACTTACCTGATCCATCATCCGGCGGTAAGTTACCAGCCAACATTCGAATGAAAGTCGTTTTACCGGTTCCATTTTCTCCTAGCAGTACAAGTATTTCCGAGTCGGTAAATTGACCTTTCTCGACACACAACTTAAATGAGCCCATGGTCTTCGTCATTGCGGGATATTCGTAGTGATTCATACGTTTAACTTCCTCTTCGGTTGCGCTCTCTGCCACTTTAAAGACAAGAGATTCCTCTCGAAAACGCAAATTTTCCGTGGGAACGAATCCGTCGAGGAAAATATTTATTCCTTCTCTTACGGAAAACGGCATAGTAACGACTCCATATGCTCCGGGCACGCCATATAGGCAACAAATAAAATCAGACAGATAGTCCAAAACCGACAAATCGTGTTCCACCACGATTATAAATCTGTCACATCGAGATAGTCAATATACTGAATGTATCATTAATTGGTCACGAGCCTTTTACGAAATTAATGCTTACTTGTCTGGATGAATAAGAGATCTGATAGTTACAGCAGCATTAAGACGCTGTTTGACATCTAGATACGAGGAGGGCTCGTCAAACATAAAAATATCTCCATTTTGAATGCATACCATCGCACAGGCAAATCGCTGTAATTCACCACCAGAAAGTGCTTCGATACCTCGATCGCGTATATGTAACAGATCTAAAAGAAATGTTCGTTGGTGAAGAAGTATTATATACACACACACACACGCGCGCACGTACACGCACGCATGCACGCACACACACACGCACACATGTAGACTTCTACAAATTCAATGTTTACCAAGCATTTCACAGATTATCATTTGATTCTTGCATTCATCTTTTTTATCTAGGAGTTGTTGCACAGTGCCCTTTACTGCTTTAGGAATCTGGTCGACATACTGAGGCTTGATAAGTGCTTTTAGATCATCTTCCAAGATCTTGGTAAAATAATTCTGCAACTCACTACCTCTGAAGTGACTCAAAATTTCTGTCCAATCCGGCGGATCCTATTCAAACGAAAAGAATCATATATCATTCATTTCATTAACTAATCAAAGACTATGTTTGCGCGCGCATATGGATATGTAATTTATTAATTGTACCGAGAACTTTTTACTTACGGAAAATCTACCCAAGTTTGGCTTTTGCTTGCCAGCTAAAATTTTAAGGGCAGTCGATTTACCAATTCCGTTAGTTCCCACGAGCCCGAGAACTTCACCAGGACGTGGGATTGGAAGTCTATGTAGTTTAAACGAGTTTTTTGAGTAGCGATGCGTTGTTTCCTTTTCCAAATTGCTAGGAAGATTAATGATAGATATTGCCTCAAATGGACATTTCTGCAAAAAAAACTTTTGCTAGTACTAGTTATATTTTTATTATTAACATTATTTTTTATTTTTTTGTTATTACTGTTTTTATTATTACTGATTATTAACATTGTTATTAAAAGATGACAATAAGTACGGTATACATTTTAATTAATATATCTATTCTTTTTTGAAGAAATTCTAAATTAATGTGATGAACTAGAATGAAACAAGTATACTTTCTTGCATTCTAATTTATTGCACCAGTGTGCACTAAATCAGAAATTCTTCAGAAATAAACAAACCTAATTATTGTATATAAACATTTCTCTGATAGGCAACTTATTGATTCCTTCTATAGTATTCAGCAAAATAAATGTATATATGTATTATTTTAATTTTTCATTAATCTGCTTATGACTCAATAGTTTAGATCAGAGCTCAGCACACGTATTTCGACTGATTTTCTCTAGCTTCTAGAAACATATGTTTACAATCATATCCTGAGTCTTAAGCGGTTCGTAAGTTGCACGTAGAGTTCTGATTTAGGTCAATATGTACAAATGATACTTTGCAAATGATACTTTAATATAAAAATATGCAAATAGATAGGAGCGTGCAAGAAAAAAAAGAGTAGAATATAAGAAGTTGTGTAATTGTAACCCCATAGGGGATCAATAAAACCCTTATATATATATATATATATTTTTTTTTTAACTGATTTTCTCTAGCTATATATATATATTGCAATATATATATATGCAATTTTTATGTTGGAACATAATGCCATTTTCTATAAGTTCAATTAATAAATGTAATATAAATAAATTTACATTAGATTCTTACTACGAAATTCAATGATATATAGATATTGATTAATGTGGTAAAAATTGCATATATATATATATATATATTGCAATATATATATATACATAGTTGCAATATATATATATATATATACAAAAATGTGCAAATAATCGCACATTATTATACACGCTATTATATATTATATCATATGTTATTATGTAACATGACCTCGTTACCATACCTTAACACAGATACCACATCCAATACATAGCTCCTCTGAGATGGACGCTATCTTACTGTTTGGGTTAACTTCTATACAGAGTTTTCCCATTCGTACCACTGGACATGATCTCTTGCATTCTTGCCTACACCGTTTAGGTTTGCATTTATCCGAATTTACAATTGCTATACGGGTCAAGCGATCTGTTTCCTCCATCGACTTTTTTGGCGGCATGATGATAGAGGATTAACTTTATTAAACTGTAACACATACATCAATATATTAAATGTTACATATATTTCTTGTAATATTTTCATCTATGGAAGGGTAATAATAATTAACCCTTTCATTGCTATTAATTTCAATCTCAATAAACTTAAAATCTAGAACGCAATTGAATTGTCTATTTACAAAGAAGAAGTCAAATGTTGCATACACACTTAAAAGTGATTACTTTCTTAATAACTTGAAACGATAACGTATAACAATCATAAGACAATTTTTTCTAACAGTTTAAATTTCTACAGCTTCAAATACATAAGGTATGCAAAAGATGTCTGATATAGAAAAAAAGAGTAAAGTGGTTTTTGCATTAATTTACAAGTTTTTTCCCAAAATAATTCATGAACACGTGACCTAACCAAGCCGAGTATATTGTTAATTATCCTACATAGAAATTATTGTACCTTTTGCAACGTCTTTTTACATTTTTGTTCGAATAAATCTCAAAATATATAAATAATGCGTTAATTTGAGATTTTAACTAGGTTTGAACTGTTACAAGTATAAAAGCTGTTAGTGCCACGCGACATTAACCTATCATTTTATGAGAGTTAAAGTATATTTCAAAGTAGATATATTTCATTACTACTTTGATGATTGTTAAAGAAGAATTTTTGTAAAAAAATGTGTTACAACGAAAATATTACTGATAAAGTATACTGAAACGTACCTATTACAAAATCAAAATCGTGAGACAACGTGTGGTTCAATTCAATCCTTTCTAATTCTTCTTGAGTAGCATTCACTGTTGGCGTTCACCTCTCAGCGACTCGGCGAAGGAAATGGAGGCCAATCAGACGGCAAAATTGGGGGACAAAAAGTAAAAGAAAATAGCGCCACGCGTGCGCATGCAACTCTCAGTTTCTAGTAAAGTATGTATGTCATTGAAATATAGGACATTGTCAAATTCCTTGTGAAAAGATGGAACGTAATGCCATTTTCTATAAGTTCAATTAATAAATGTAATACAAATAAATTTACATTAGATTCTTACTACGAAATTCAATGATATATAGATATTGATTAATGTGATAAAAATTGCAAAAATAAACTTATTCACTAAATATTGATCAATTTACAAATTGTAAATGTGTTTACTTTTGTAATCTTCACCAAATTGTGTCAAGCCCGTATCAGACTACGGATTAAGATTGAGATTGAATTGAAAATTGACCAATCAGAGCAAAGTTCACCAAACTTAAACTTAGTGAATTTTGTTCTGATTGGCTAAATTTCAATTCAATCTCAATCCTAATCTATAGTTTGATACGGGCTTTAAGCTCGTATCAGACTAAATACTGGCTTATAATGGTCGTAATCCGTTAACTTATGTCAGAACCATAAAAATTGACCAATTATACTCGAATTATAGAAGAATAATCGATTGTGATCGGTCAATTTTTTATGGTTCCGGTATAAATTAACGGATTTCGGCAATCATAAACCAGCTTTAAGGCCAAATCACACTAAAGCCCGTATCAGACTAAAGATTAAGATTGAGATTGAATTGAAAATTGGCCAATCAAAGCAAAATTCACCAAACTTGAGCTTAGTGAATTTTGCTCTGATTGGCTAAATTTCAATTCAATCTCAATCCTAATCTATAGTCTGATACAGACTTAACGATTGGCGATAGATGATTGACGATTGAAGATTGAAACTTGACCAATTGGAACAAAGCAAGCCAAAGCTAAAGCTTGTTGATTCGTTAAAACCTAATCTTTAATTGTCAATCGTCAATCGCCAATCGCTAGTGTAATTTGGCCTTTAAAGATTGGAAATTGAGGATTGCGGTTTGAAGATTAGATTTTGATTATCAAACTTTGATGGAAATACTCTGTTTTGATTGGTGCATTTCTAATCATCTTCAGAAATGTACCAATCAGAACAGAGTATTTCCATCCAGCAAGCAATTCAGCACAAAAACAAGCACCGTGTGTTGCTGGTTTAACTTTTACGAAAAAAATATGAAAAAACTCTCAATTTTGAGTGTAAACACCCAAAAACTGGGAATAAACACCTAATAGCATGTTCGACTGGCTCTGGGCTGCTATTCCGTTACCGTGGTTCCGATAGTTATCGGATCAGTAGGTGTCGTTGCGCAGTTTTCCACGGTATAAAAAAGCTGCGCAACGACGCTTACCGATTCGACAACTGTCGGGATGCGGAAACGGAATAGTACCCCTGGGTTAACCCACTCTGGGTTATTCAGTATACGTTTATTGGTCAAACAAGTACTTATAAGCTTTATGATTAGCTAATAGAGACTTATGGCGTCAATAATCGTTCCCGGAGCGATTAACTCAAGCCAGTCGAACGTTATAAATTTGAGTGTTAACACCCAAAATTGAGAATTTTTTCATATTTTTTTTGTAAGAGAAGGCCGGTTTATGATGGTTGTAAGTCCCAATCTACAATAAATGTAGTAAGCTTTAAGCCGTAAGAAATTGTCCAATCATGATTGATTATTTATCTATAATTCAACTATTGGTCAATTTCTTAAAGTTTAATTTTAGATAATATGTGACCAATAAACTGGTTTGTGTACGTTTGTGTCAAGATGTGTTAAGCAATTGGAAAGCACCCAAAGATAGGATGATACTTGTGTCGACTTGTGTCTCTTGTTGGAAAGCAACCTATATCTCACTTTAACTTATTGCACCAGTGCAATAGCATAGAACAGACCAATTAATACTAACGAGAAATTTAAACTGTGTGCGCCAGTTTTTCTGAAACATATGGTCTGTTCTTTTCGGCTGCACTGCTGAACTGGTGCAATAAGTTAGAGTGAGAAAAAATATATTTGTCTCACTCTAACTTATTGCACCAGTTCAGCAGTGCAGCCGAAAAGAACAGACCAATATACAAGCTTCTAACCTGCCTAATCAACGGTACACGATGCTTGTTTTCATGCTTGATTACTTGCTAGATGGAAATACTTTGTTCTGATTGGTGCATTTCTGAAAACGGACCAATCAGAATAGAGTATTTTCATCCAGCAAGTAATCCAGCACGAAAACAAGCATCGTGTGCCGCTGGCTTTAATCGACGCGGTAGCGGTAGCGTCATGACGCTAGTTGCATAAAAGATTGTAATAGTTTAGTTCAATCGCTTTATGTATTTTATGAAAGAACAATGGGAGAATTGGTGTTATAAGTTATTTGTCATTACAACAGAACCTTTAATATGTGTCATTATTTTAATATCTAATAGAAGACTCTTTCCAGGTGATCTATTATGTGTCTGTATATGTGTGTGACATTTAACGATTCGGCGATATTTACAAAACACCTACTGCAATGATGGCAACGGATCGTATCGACGCTCCTCTGCGGTTTACTGTGAAGAAAGAAGAGGATATTTGCAATGACAACGAGAGCGATACCAATATGGATGGCATTAACAGCCTCTTATCAATGTCTTTGCCGTTACTTTCTATAGATAATACTGTTATACATGATGGATCATTGTCATCCAGCAATGAGTCTGCACACCTCACAGAAATGGTATGTTTATTTTTTGTACATTTTAAACTTTGTACACATTGTATATTCTTCACAACATATATTGTTTCTTTTCAATTTGACTATTCTTTTCCCAAATAAAAAAGTACACACATTAAACTTAACTTCTATATAAATATTATAATTTGAAGAAATGCATAATCTTAACACATTCATATATTACATATTTTAAGTTTTGACACTGATTTTACCGTGATTGATATTGTGTTTTAGACTCTCAATTTTTAATTTAGTTGTTTATAATTGGATTTAAATGACATTTGAATTTTTTAAAGAAATAAGTGACAAATAACTTAATATATAACACTTCTATTGTTTATTTATTTTTATTAAAATAATAAGTTAATTAAAATTAAATTGTTTTATATATAAGTAGGGCTATATTAAAGAATTTTAATATATATTGTAAATGAAGAAAAATATTTGTACATACTTTTTTTATATATAATGTTATTATTGTATGGAAAAATATTTCTAAAATATTTAAAAATATATCTATTTAGCATATTAACGCAAATAAAAATACGTGCATATATAAACTATATATTCTGACAAAAATATTTGTAGCAATATTTCTACTTTTGTATAGGTTTATATCAAATAACATAAGCAAACATAATTTTTATTTATTGTATCACTGAACACAATCATTACAAACAACTAGTATATAAACTATCATTTAATAGGTTCGTGCTGTGTATTTGTCATATCTTCACAAATGTTTACTTAATAATTATACAACTTGTTATGAGAAGGACAATGAAGATATACCAAATGTTGAGGTAAAAAAATGTGCAGACCAGATGGAACTAAATGCTATCCAATTGGCATTAGAAGCCACTTTGTATAGAAAAAGCATGTTGAAAATGGTAAAAATATTATGTTAATATTAAGAATATTAAGTTTTATCTAATATATCATTTTCTCACTATATTTATAATGCTGTTGATCTTTGCAGATTGCAGATATAAAATCACACACTGCTAAGAATAAAGTGTACAAAAAATTATTAGTAATTTTAGAAACACCTAAGAACAAAATTAATGTTGCTGTACAAACAGATGATAAATGGGTGGATTCACATGGAACGGATAATATACAAAGCGTGTGTATTACATCAAACTCTGAGGAAATGTTGCAAACAACATCACCCATTGTAAATTCTAGTAGTTTTGATGAAAATGAAAATGTCGCGCAAAATTTTGAAGATAAAATGGATCTACAAGAGACAAACGAAGAAGATATTGTAAAAGAAGTATTTGATGATGCTAGTCAAAGAAGTGAGAATATGAATAATTCTCAAATAATAGTCGATGCATCCGTAATCAGAAATGAAAATGAAAATTCCCAAGATTCGATATTACAGCATATGGAAGATATGTTTTGCGAAAGTGACGACAGCAGTGATCTTACGACATTAATAGAGAAGTATTCCGGTGTTAGTAGAGCTAATGTTGACAAGGAAATCAATGAAATATATTCAAGTGGCAATACTACCACGGATCCGAGTTATCATGATACATCGCAAAATAATAAAGTATCGAATATAATTAATAATGCATCTAGTGCAGTGAAAAGAAGCACAAGCGAGGGTAAAGTTAGTTATAGCCGCTATAAGGAATTGCGAAATAAAGAAGCCAATATACCAAAGGAATCCGACGAGAACGAAATGACTGGTATAAAAGACTTGAAACAGAGAGAGAGAATAAATGCTGTCTGGCTTGTGGAACGTGTACACCAAATGTCGAAACTGAAAGCTAAAATGACCGAATTATCAATGACGAATTATCGAAAGCATGGAATGTTAAAGGAGACGTTCCATCAACTATTTGGAGAATTCGATGAAGAAGAGTTGATGCCAGACTCGCCAATCTGCATTGAAGAACATTTGTCGGCATGTAAAGAAAGAATAGCACCATGGATAGTGAAGTACTTAATGCCTTTCTACAAAAAGAGAAGAATTAAGAACCGACAACTTTTCAAAGTTGTTGCAAAGTACATCGCAGATATGCTCATTATAAAAAATACGTTTCCTGGTGAGTAAAAATAATCAGTCGCAGGCGTAATTTAAACATTATACATTCGTATGATCAACGAGACATCGCTATTCTTCCATTTTAATGTATTTCAGAACGAGAATGTGTGAGCAAGTATATATGTGATTACTTCAAGAACAAGAAATGTATCAAAACCAAACAAGATGTATACCTCTAACTGGTTACTACTACAGCATTATTGATTCTATTGTGCAACGCAAGTCAGTAAAACGTAGGGATTGTATTCTGCTATGAATTTCTGTTCTGACACCTTTCATTCATAGGTTTATAAAAATACAATGACATATTTTACACATATATAATTAATATAAATATATATATATAAAAAAATTCTCTCACAACAGATAGCTATATGACTGAACAATCTTTATATGATAATTTTTATAAGAAACAGAAAGAGTAGCTCAGGAGGAAAAAACACTTGAACGTTTGAAGCTGAGATACTTTGCAAAAGATTTTTCTGTATAAAAATTAATGCTATTGCGTAGTGACAAATTTTGTTCAATGTAAATATGTACGAATATTTATGTTAAATACGTAAAATTATTATAGCGGTCATATCATCTGAAAGTACTTATATATTCTAGCATTTGAGAATCTTCCCTGCGACAAATCAAAATTTATTATTGTAATAATGTAATTAATGTAGTTGAATGTAATTAAATGACTTAGACAGTTGATCAAAGTGATTAAGTCTTTGCAGTGTTATGAGTAAAGCCTTTTCAGTAAGAAAAAATTACGTCGTGAGTTTAATTTGTGTTGCAACATGAAATCGAAACTTTGTGTACGCGCAACGTGATCAAAGTCGCAGTGAAAAAGAGACACTAAGTACAACTGATAATTTCACTATTGATTTTAATAATAGATACAATAACGATAATAAAATGATGTTCACGATAATAATAATGACGATGGCAATGACGATATGATCATAATAATAATCATAATAATGTGATACTAATTAATAATAATACACTAGATATTCTACACATATAAAATCAAGAAGTCATATATATAACAAGGAGATTCATAAAGCATCAAACAAGCTCCGAAGTTGCATTTTTGTCAAGGCAGGCATGAAAGTTGCGTAATCGATTACTTCTCTTTTCGTCTAAAACATTGATTCACTACAGGTAAGCTATCATTAAGCTGATTAAATTCGGTTAACGTATCGACTTAAACTCAATATGGCTTCGTAACATATCTCTTATTATCTGATTTGTAGATTTGCACGACCTATTCAGTAGAAAGAATGCCGCACAGTAGAGACTGGAGATGATACGAGCTAGTCGTATCATGTACGCTTTCATATGTGTGTACACAAGTTTGGCGGATATATAAAATAGTTCTTTACAATCATAAAGGTTAGTTACTTAGCCTAGTGATAACATAGATTAATGATAATAATAATAATAAAAATAACAACAAGATAATAATACAATAATAAAGAAGAAAGAAAACGTGACCACTATTAGTCTACAATGTAATCAATTTTCCTTGAGCAAATTCACGGACGCAAGAGCCATTGAGCGGAACAGTAGTTGCAAGCCATTCTCTTTTATTATTTTTATATACAGCGAAATCAAGAACTCTCTATCGTGCCAAGCTGATCATGCATCAAAGCGATATACAGGACGATCTGTTATTGATGACATAAGCAAAGTGATTTCACTTGAACAAAAATAAGCTGCAACCTATTTTTTGGGAAACATTAAGAGCATTTTTATTCATATAAATAAAATATTTCAGTTCGTACTCTGGCAGCTTTAAAATAAATTTTTTTATTTGCCGATTTATTTCAAGTGTTTGACAACACTTGTAGTGTTGTAAGAAATAATGCGAAAAATATCGTTATTTAATTAATTCGCAAAATTGACTTTTTCGACGACAACGATTTACGTAACAAATTTATTAAATATTTTCCATTCATTTCTTCGTAATATCACCTCTTTGCCGATTGCACCGCCAATAATGAACTCTACCGCTTATACAGACATGTTTTTGACTCATGACTCATGCTACTATTCCATCTAACGGCTCACATATCAAATACGATTGTTTGCTATATTACTGGAATTATAGCGCTGCAAAGGGTTCGTTTCACACGACATGATTTACGAATGATAACATTTTTTTTATTTTACTTATCTCCTTTGTTATAAACAGTATCATGATAACAGTAGACAGAATCAACCTACTAACAAGTAAGAATGATTTTGCCAATTTACTCTATGTACTTCTTTCCATATAAAGATGCTTAGCTATATATTATTTATACCATAGATTAGCATATTTGCGGAGTGAACTAAAGGTGTGTGTATATCCCCAAATACGTGTTCTGATCTGATAATCGTAGCAACTGGAAGTTCGCTTAGTTGTTGCAAAAATATCGAGGGACGTCCGTAACTTCCAAATGAGATGTCAATACAATCAAACGTGATCTCACGAATGTATTAAAAGGCTTGGTGGAAAAGGTATTTGCGATACTTCTTACGTCGACTTATGTATTACGTATTTTTCCAGGTACATAGTTCTTGTCTATTACAGCTTCCTGTAGAAACATGTGTAAACATCGTTCGTTCTGTGCCAAAGGATGTCCAGCTATTCTGAAATAGTTGCGCAATATAGACTGTCAGTATCGTAGACCTTGTACGTCGTAGGTATAATTAACTCGTGAACGGTAGTGTCAACTCAACTGTTTCGACGATTTGTTAAACTGTTAAAGTAACTGTCGAGTAAATGGATATTCCTTTATCCTTTTCAGCACTAAGACCTTCGATGACGCGTATACGTCGTCACTGTGGGTTTAAGGTTCCTAGCTCATCGCCGCGGAACTTTTGATTAATGACGTCAGAAAAGTGAGAAAATACGCGTTAAAAATTCTTAAAAAACACGATGAAATATAAAAGTCCATCCATAAAATTAACACCTATCCATAAAATCATATCATATCCATAAAATTAACACCTGCATCTATCAAGCAGACTAAAATAGTCCAAAGATTTCCCTTTTGTTTGAACAATCAATAAATAACCGTAAAATTAACGCGACACGCAATCTTCTCTCATAATTTTGTTACGTCAATTTAAAAAAATTTTTAATGGACTCAACTATGTGTATATTTCTCGCTTCTGACGTCATAAATCAAGATGGCCACGGCGAGGATGTATATGCTCAAAATTCTTAAAATAGATATATATATATTAAAAAAATGACATTTGCAATCGATTAAGCGCATCTCTCAAATATCCCGAACACTTTCCTTTTGCTCGAACAGTAATAAATAACAGTAATAAATAACTAAAATTGACGCGACAAAATAATGAGGAAACGTAGGTTAAAAAGGAAGGTTAATTTTATGGTTATTGATTGTCAGAGCAAAGGAAAAGTTCAGAATATTTTAAGAATGTGCTTAAATCGAATGCAAGTCGAGCGTCATGTTTCGAATTCGTATCTTTTTGTTTTGAACTTCTACTTTGTAGAAATTTTTGGCATACACTTCTTCGCTCTTTTGACGTCATAAAACAAGATGGCCACGGCGAGGAGCCAGGATTCTTAATACACTAATACATACGCATATATGATTTCATAGTGCAGAAAAGGATAGAGGAGATATGAAACTTCTTATAAATGGCCATGCCATTTTGAGACATCGATTACACTCGCATATGTATATGCGATAAGCTTACTTGTTAACAAAAACTTCCAAGCCTTTCCTTCGATCTTCAATAAAGTCTTCCTCGAATATGCCGTCATCCCCGCGGAAAGGCATTTGCCGTTTCCAGGCTTTTCCTGGTAAAGGTGGTACTACAATCTATATAATTTCATAGAAGACATATGATTAAGTAACATTATATATTATATATTTGTACTGGAATAAGCTATAGGAGAATTTAATAAAGGTGTATAAGCAATTTTGTTAACACAATTGACAAATTTCATCTCTTGGGTTAAAAGTAAATCAAAACTGTTTAGATTCTTTTAATAAAAAAGTATATATTAAGCACTTTAATATTAAGCATTTTTAAAGCAACATAAAATCGCCCATACACCATGTTATCAGAAAATGGCATACCTCATTTATTAACTAACCTTACTGTCTCTTTCTAATTCATTCCTCAGCCACTCAAAATCACTATATCGTCTCCTCACAGTTGAGTCCTTTACTTTAAAGACTGGTAAGTTTGTCTGCAAGAGAGTTGATTAATATAAGAATATTAATTTAATTTTAATTAAAATATTAATATCATTAATAATATGAAATAGTAATTTAAATATTAAACCAATCTATTAGGCAATATTTTTATGGGTATCCACTAAATTGGGGCAGACATCACATAGATTACAGCATTATCGTTACATATAATCTATTACACTTCCTATTTACTATTAGTTTCAGCCAAATGCTTTTTTGAAACTTTTTTGAAAATATATGTATTGCCTATAATAAGTTGTCACCTATATTATGTTAACTTGATGATATTTCCACAAAGGGATATGCTTTAGCTCTTTTTTTTACAAAATAATTTTGAGCTACCGATTTGTTAAGCTTGAGATGTTTACAAAAATTTGGAAGTACATATTCTGTATTTCTGTTTTATCATACAGATATGATAGAAAAGCAGCTGATGATATAAATGTCATACTCGAGGGAAGCTTTTTTACTGTAAAATAGGATATCATAGCGTAATCGCGGGATGCAGAAGATAGAGAATGTTTTTGACTTTTATCGGGCTTTCCGCCCGTCAAACCGTCTCAAATTGAACCACCATGAAAAAAGGGGAAATATGAAGATATATCGAAACAATTTAAAAACACTGTTTGCTTCGGAGCACGCAACAAGCGTTTTATCAGCGCGTGCCGATAGCGGGTACTGCCCACGATACACCTAATCATTGCACATATAATCGAATTACGGTTGCGATGTGAGGAACGCCCGTCCCGTCGAGCGGCTGGACGAGAGTGCGAAATTGCGCAAGGAAATTTCCGCAAATGCTCGCACGTCCAATATGTTGAACGTTACGCTGGAAGTATAATTTGAAGCGAAACGAGCACCCTGCGGTAGACAGATAAGCGATCGGGCGCGTGTATGCGTACTCACCCTCATGCGAACTTCGTAATCCGTGTACCGTTTCTTGCCGACACCATGTGTGATTGGATTAATTACGTCGATCTCGAGGAAATTCGCGGGCGCCGCGTAAGCGTCGTCCAGCGTTTGTTTTTTCACGTTTAAGCGTCGCGTAGCGTCTACAGTTGTGTCCGCCATTTCCTACGGTTTTCAATTGAACACGCGTCGTGCCCGGCTGGACCTCACTGCCGCAAAATGCGCTACTGATACACGAGGAATAACGAAACGCCGGGGAATAACGAAATGACAGCGCACGGTAACTTGACGCAACTTGCCTCTCTCTCTTTCTCTCTCTCTCTCTCTCTGTCTCTCGCTCTCGTGCTCTCTCCGTCTGGCGTGCGCATGTACGCCCGATGCGTCAAAATGCGCTTGTGTGTGCGGCAATGTACTGAAACCGCCGAGCAGACAGATCGGCGAAGCCGCGTGTTGAGACGGGCGACGTTGAGAAGACAAGCCGACGTGCAAATAAGCAATTGTAAGGAAATTATCGATCTCGCGCAAGCGACTATAGCCTGAAAACATCGAGAATCATCGATTGGTTTTGAATATATCGTAGTTATTTGATATTTGATCAATTTCAGTACTAATGACATTCAATGATGCGAATGGAACTATCGTTGACTCGCACCACTTGAAGATGACGAGCTTAAGTTCCGATCTACAATAAGTGACTTAAAGCCGATTCCAACCATTTGGTAAGCTACTTAACAATTAAATCATCTGTCAGTCTCTGTCCAATTTGAAAAAAAAACGAAGAGAGATAAATTATTTAACTGTCAAATAGCTTACCAAGAGGTTGGAACAATCGGTCCTAAGAAATTGATCGATTACAATTATTCTTCTTATATTTGACTGCGTTAATTTTTTAACGTTTAAAGCTTAATGCTGTAATTCTAAACAAATATACGAATAAGGGTGAAATTACATGTAGAGTAAAAAAGTTGCGGAATAGAGAGTGCGTCATAGAACCAACCAATCAGCACATAAAACTTGCATGATAGCAGAGAGAAGCATGAGACCACCAGTCTGATTTCAATGACAAAAGCTAGGCGCATTTTCGAGACGCTATCTAACAAAGTATGCCTTTACTACGTTCGTTAAGCGCATTTTCGCGGTGGTAACGATCAGAGAGAATCTAGACAGAAGCTGCGTTCCGAAATTCACTGCTAGTACTGAAATTCTATAGTATACGTAACATGAACTATAGATTTTCAGTACTGGCAGTGAATTTCGGAACGCAGCCAGAGTGGAGCGGATTCGCTGGAAGTCCGCCATTAGTTGGGCAACTTTTGGTAACCGCCATTAATTGGGCAACTTCTGCATCGCTCCGAGAGCGATTAATGAAGTCTCTACTAGCCAATCATAAAGCTTATAAGTATTTGTTCGACCAATAAACGTAGGCTGAATAACCCAGAGTGGGTTAACCCAGAGCCAGTCAAACATGCTATTACTTATTGCACCAGTTCAGCAGTGCAGTTACAAAGAACGGGCCTATATATGGTTGCGTTCCGTTTCACGCATTATGCGCGCATTGCCTACAATATACGTAACATGAACTATAGATAAATGCGTGAAACGGAACGCAGCCTATATCACATTTGCGGAAGTTGCCCAATTAATGGCGGCACCAATCAGAGAAGAGAACACGGATGGGACCCGATTGGGAGCCGATTGGACCCCGATTGACCACGATTGGACACACCATTCGATGAAAAGAATTATCTAGTGAATTACTAGGTCGAACTAATCATTACAATCTGTGTCCAATCGTATCGTGGTCAATCAGGTCCCACCCTATCCTGCGCAAGGGCTGAAAGTCGGTCATGATGCTGCAGGTTAGGTCATACAGTTTTAGCATGTAGAGCATATTCTAGGGTAATTTTTCACAGTCTTTTAAAGTAATTTTCGCTGTTGTTAAAGTTCAATTTTGAAAGATACGTCAAGTGTACGTATTTTGCTCTGCATCGTCTTCTGGATGACAAAGTGTGTTAGTGACACTCTACTCCCTCAGTAGCACTCCCAGAATTTTGAAAATAATTTGTCAATATTCCAAAGATGCGCCTATAACGTTGGATCTATCCAACATCTAATGTCACTCTATTCTCTCAGTAACACGTCCAGAATTATGAGAATAATTTTTAAATAGCCCAAAATTGCGTTTATAACGTTGAATCCAACTTAGCGTAGTAAGAATGTCGATTTCTCGCGCATGGGCCGAAAATCGGTTTTACTGCAAGTTATTTATGTCATATAGTGTTAGCATCTAGAACACATTCTGGGATAATATTTTACAGTTTTTTGAGATAATTTTCGCGTTTACAAAGATGTATTTTCGAAAATACCGATCTTAGACCAATTCTACAATACGTCGTATGCCAGAGTCGGATGTTGGAACACAATCAACGATCCAATGACAGTTTATTTTACGTAAATATGTTCTTCTCATTGGACCATCGACTGCGTTCCTACATTCGACTATGGCAAACGACGTATTGTAGAACCAGCCTTAATCATCTATTGTAGAGCGGAACCATGGACATAGGATTCGCTATTAATGCTACCGCGTTCTTCTATCTTTCTCGCTCCTTAGATAAACGACAAGGATAGAATGACACGGTAACGCTGAATAATACTAATAATGAGCTCCTCGAACACACCTATGCCAGAAATATATTTCAATCATTCTTATTTTCAATCATCTAAATAATTATACTTTTTTAAATCAGTATATAGAACTTTTTTTTTTAAGAAAATAGTTTTATCTAAAAAAACCTGAAAATATTTTTGTTAATTTTTGTTAATATATTGTTGAGTTATGAATTTTTTTTACGAAATTACATTTTTTGTCGATTTCGGCAAATTTAAATTGTTATTGCAAAAAATTGTTAATAAATAACTAAAGTAACTATTGGAACATAAAATATAATCTCTTTAGAGTATCTCAGAATTTTTTCAGATTTTTTAGATGAGTTTAACAAAAAAATGTTACAGGACTTAAAGGCGTCACCATGCAAATGGCGTTAGTAAAAAACATAATGCAAACGGAGGGTTAAAAATATTTTATGTTTCTACATAAATACATATATTTACATTGCCTTTAGCTTGAACAGAAAGTTTTTT